TGTAGGATAGAGAGTGGGGTGTGAGTTCTGAGAGTGGCGAGATACTGGAACAAACTCTATTATGATAATTGTTTGAGTTGGCTCATCATCAGTGTCATTTCAATTGTTATCCTCGCAGGTTCCTCTTGTGATTGGTTGTTGGGAGTTTGTCAGAGAGAGAGAAACACTGTGTGTCCTCTCCCCATCTGTGCATAGCTGTATTCCGCTGCCTACTTTGATCTGTGTGTAGTGTGGACTCTGTCTCCTCGCCCCCTTCTCTTATGCATGTATGGGCACGTGTGAGACTGTCTGTGTGTGAGTGGCGGTATAAATCATCAGACAACCAAGTTCATAACAGAAGAGGCAGTTGATGGCAAGCGTCGGGGCATCGTCCACAATGAACCGCTTCTTCCATAGCCGTGTTAACTCTTCCCAAGAGATCTTATCTTTCAGATCTCCGACGTCGACGCCGTGGACGGTTGCCAGGTGGCTCAACCAGATCTGGCATCCGCCCTTTGAGTTGAGGAACAACGCGCCGATGTACGTGTGCTTGGCGACGAACAGAATCCGAAGTTGCGTTGTAGAACCCTCCCACCAGAGGATCGGGTCTTGATGCGTATAATCATCGAACTTCTCGATTTGGAACGTCGGCATCTTGTAATGCTGAGTGGTGTTGCCATCTTTGTTAGGCAGCTGCAGCTGTTAAACCTCGGTCTTCAAGGTGTCCAGCTGATGGTGGCTGGTGCAGCGAAGGTACTGATGTTGCCGAGCATTACGACTACGTGGTCAACTCGTTCCTCCAGTTGGCGGGCAGAGGGTGCACTGCTGGACTCGCCAGCCTCCGGTCTTGGTGCAGTTTGCTCCAAGTCTTGTACACGGGAATCAAGTGCCCGTGCTGCATCCTCGTGCTGAGCCTTGTGGTTCTGTACGGCCCACTGGAGGTTCGCCAGCTCGGACTGCAGGTGGTTACAAGTGTAAACCAACCTAGTCACGAGTTTGGCCATAAATTCCTTGTGCTCCTCCTCCGGTGTCGCGTTGTCGTGCTCCTCGGATGGTTCAAAGTGCCAAAACTTGAGCTTTTCGATGCTGGTGGCTTCATGCCGCTGTAGCAGATCCTGGGCTTCCTTGCGGCGTGCCTGGGTATCTGCGTCTGCTTCGGCCTGAAGCCGCTGCTTCTCAGCTGTTGCCGCCGCTTCAGCTTGTAGGCGGACAGCCTCGGCTGCCACCTGGCGCTGTTCCTCAGCCTCGATCAGTGCGAGCTGAGTCTGGAACCGCTGTTTGTACTCGGCAATGGACTCGTTGGCCAGTTGGCCTGACATGCCCAGAGTTGAGCCTGTCATGGTGGCGGGGCACTGCTGACGTGGCACTGTGGCACTGCTGACGTGGCACTGTTGCTGACGTGGCACTGTTGCTGACGTGGCACTGCTGACGTGGCACTGTTGCTGACGTGGCACTGCTGACGAGGCACTGTTGCTGACGTGGCACTGTACGAACCTGGAAATGCATGCAAAGGGGTGGGTGGGA